CCCCAAAACCCCAAAACCCCAAAACCCCAAAACCCCACATTTTTGGAAATCTATTGAATAATTTTAGACAGTCAAAATGGAGAAAGATAAGAGGAGTGAGAAGGAATATGTAGAAATCAAAAAGGATATGAGCGATGTAGTCAATAACATCCAAGATTTTGACGCAAAATTCAGTTATTTTAACTTAGAGGATATTGTAACTAAATCTAAGTTTTCTTCCCAACTGAGAGGATTCCCTCCAAAAGAAGCAATAGATACAGGAGTGTATATGTCCTTTGAGAGCATCATTAGTAACCAAATAAGTGAAATTTACGGCCCTAGAGTTGTTTTACCTCTTTTTGATGAAGCTTCAGAAGGTAAGCCAGCAAACACATTTTTGAGGGAAATTGAGTTCAAATTTTTTATGTGTAACAACTGGAATATAGGTGCAGATTCTGATGAAGAAGTTCAACATTATAACAGCAAACTACCTTCTGTAGAGACAGTAATGCAATTTCAACTGATCTATAGGTCTGAAATAGCATCTACTTTGACGATCAATTTCGAGAGATAGAATTCACTGATGCAGAGTTCCCTGAAATGCTGAAAAGTGCTGAAAAATTTGAGTTCAAATTAATGATTTCTAATCTTGATTCTTTGACAACTGCCGAAAGTATATATGACAGAATTTATGAGTACATTGTCAAAATGTAAGCTTTATATAACTTTTCAGTCGAGAAAATTATGGAATAGAGAGTACTCCCAAATTTCATGAGTGGATTAAATATGTTGGTAGGTTCAGTATCCAAAATAAATTTAGCTGCTATTAAGAACTGTGATGACACATACAAGGCTATAGTTACCTTCGAGAAGCCAGAGATGGTACTGGATATCTGAAAATTCTTTCATCTCCGTAGGAAAATTGTTATGCTTAAAAATCAGTGAGTATTAAATATAATTTTATGTGAGAATTTGATGAAATTTATCTAGGGAACAAAACAGAGAGGAAGAAGCAATGATTGAGATACGATTCAATCCATGGTGAGTTTGCCTCCTACTAATTCCTAGCATTGATCTCTCACTATTTGAAGAAGGAGATGTACCTTGGATAGCAATGGTGATGAGAAACTTACCCAATGACTATAACTCTCAAAGACTTTTGCAATGATTTAAGGAAGTCCAACCAAATAAAAATCTTAGTCAAAACATTTTTGCTGAGGATTGACAGAAGATGAGTAAGATTTGGGCTTGTTAAATTATAGAAATAGAGGATATCAGTGAAGTAGTGTTGGTCAAATAACGCTTGTAAGACTACTATTTACTCTTTAGATTGCGCTATTATCAAATTTCCCAGTATAGATTCTGTCTTAGAAGGAATAAGGTTCGATTTTTAATGGGTGTTACACAATGTTCTCTTAATTAATCCTCATGTTAGTGTGGGCTGTCATACACTCCTCCAAGAGGATATGAATATTCATAGCCTCTTGGACTGCGTGGACTCCAATCTATATCTAATCTCAATCAAGCTCTATTAGATTTGGCAATTATGTTCTCATATTTCTTTAAGTGATTTATTTTTTGATAATATTTTAGGTTATCAAATAACTCGAACTTAATGAATAGTTCCAAATCCACTCAGTAGGGGAAGAATTATAATCTATAGATTCTATATTCGAGCTAATCTACACCCAAATTCGAATTATAAGGAGTAAGATAGAGCTGTAAATTTCACTCTGAAATTTGTGTTAATTTTGGTATATTTTTACTATATGAATTACTTAAAAGAGTTCTAGGAAATTTGTTCTAGTCGTTATATATTTTAATGGTTTAGGCTAAAATTAAAGGATATTGTGTTAAGTCCTGGTGAGGTTAGGGACAATACACATTATACGGATCGTACACAAAGAAAAAGCACTGATTTAGCAAAAAGTGTTAATCCATTTGGGCCCCTAAGAAGCGTAACTCCATTTGAACCTCCAAGAGGTGAGTTTGTTTTAAAATTATAATTAAAGGTATTCCACCAAAACAGGAAGAGCAAAAATATTCAAGCAAAACTCCTGGCAGAATGCCATCTAACAAAAGTAAAAATATTTCAAGCTATCCACCACATAAAGATAGGAATCTAACCCCATCTAATTACCGAAGACAAACAGAGGGTAGAAAGGGACGCAAAGGAAACAAGAGATCAAGGTAAAAGCTCTGTATTTATATCTAGACAATACTCAGGAGACGCTACTCCTATAAAACACAGAAAGAAGTATTTTAAACGTGAGGACCGTTAATTCTTAGCCTCTCTAACACTTTCTCAAACAATATTATTCCTTCAATTATGAGAGGGGTTTTGGGGTTTTGGGGTTTTGGGG